AAGAAGAAAAAAACTCTTAATTAGATCAAATTATTATTTCATTTACCACAATGAACATTTTTATTGTTTGTTAACAAAAATACAAACAAACTGAAAGGAAGAAATATGCATCCACATTCATCCTGATTTTTTTTGTGTGAAATCTATGTCTTTTAGTATCAAAAGTATGTGTTGTGGTCTTTCTTTTATCTATTGCGTTATGACATTTTGTGAAAAATCTGTATGTGATGGAGAAAAATGGATATTTTCTGATTCAGTGTACAGGAATTCCTGTAGAACATGAAAACATTTCAAGACAATAAAAACCTCGCAGGTCTGTGTTACTAAAGGATGTCTAAAGTTCTCTATTACAGTGAATTTGTTTTCTTACATTTAAAAATTCTAATGTAAGATATATTTTATATTCTGTCATGATCAATCACAAATGTGTACAAATCTTTTATCTCACAATTTGTACAAACTTCCATCTAGTGTACACTAGTGCTACATCATTATATTGACTGAATCTTTTTACCGATGTTACAAGAATGTGTTGTCCCTATAATGGGAAACACCTCTGTGCTATCTACACCACTTCAGATGAGGGTGCAACTATATATTCTATTTGTATTTAAAAAAAGGTGGCATCTTTAAGTATATCTCAGATTGAGACAATTTTATAATCACTAATAATGTATAGCATTTTGTAGCCACCCCATGCAAAAATATAGCTAATTTCAAAATTACTGATTACTAACATTTGGAAGTACCATTGATTTTTTAGCAGCAGTTTTTCTATAAAAAACTGTTTCCTTGTCTTTAGAAATGTGTGTATGTAAAGTTAAAATTTTCCTCAATGAAGAAGTAACACATTGTATTGTAAGAACAATATATATTTTTTATCTCCTACCAGTTAACTTTTATATAAATAAATGCATAAATATTGCATCTTTTCCTCTTGAATTAAACTTTCAAATTCATTTTCAGAATGTTTGTTTGAAGTTAAGCACAAAGCTACACAATGGGCTATCTGTGCTCTGCCCACCACAGGTATCGAAACCCGGTTTGTAGTGTTGCAAGTCCGCAGACATACCACTGTGGGGCTTTTCAGAATGATTTCACTGTGCATTTGGTAGAAAGTGTTTGTTGAGTTTTTAGTACACGACTGAAGACTGGTGTGAATTAAAAGTTAGGATATGTACATATATACACACACACATATACACCAAACTACATCTTAAAACACTGCTAACAGTAAATAATTTGGTAACAATTATTTTCATTAAAAGTAACTTACAATGATTCCAAAAGTAGATATATTCTTCCTTTTTATCACTTCAAAGCTTTTAAATCTGCAAATGGTGGCAGTAATAGCTTATGGCTGATTTTTATTTAATGATCATTAGATCCTTTAAAAGAAAAAATGGACACCAGAAAGTTTAATATTTCTATTTGAAAAATGTAACTGATTGGTTTATCAAACTGAAATTGTTTTAAAAGTTTGTATAGTATACATTAGTATAAACCAAAACAGTATGTCTCAAGAAATGTTTTATAAAAAAAAATTGACTTTAGTTTTAGAGTTCCACTTTGAAATGGTTCCTGAGGCATTGCAAGTTGCTATTAGATGAAATCATGGTAGAGCAATGAGTCACAGTCGGACATATGCTACTGTAAAGATACTGTCTAAAATGTTTTGTATGTTTACATTTTCCATGAGTATGGTCTTTCAGTTTATATATGTATATATATATATATGATAACCTATATCAAGCAGTTTGTTCTGCTTTGTAGGTAACAAACACAATTCAGTAATTTATTGTAAAATACATACTGCCAGTCTTCTGACAATCTATTGTCAGTACTTTTTTTTTGGTTATAACAATTGAAATATAATTTGGTTTTGTCAGTTTTTCTATCATATAAAAGTAGATATTACTGTGATATAAAATACTAAGAAAATACACACTTGCACTTGCTAGTAACATTGTGAATTATATTCTGCACAGTGATAAGGTTTTCAAATTCAGTCGTTTAAGTTTTTTTTGTTGATAAAAAGCCTTTTTCAAGTTATTGCTACACTACGTGTACCATTATCATTAACTTTCTTACTTTGAAAGATTTAGGAAAATACATAATTCTAGGGGTGGTAGCAAATGTTTTGGTGAGTCTCATGTCCCTGACCATGGCACAGTAAGCTTCATTACGTTTGTACCTTGAAAATTTGCTTTTCATGTTGATTGGTTCAGGAGTTATATTTTCATTAATGACTAATTAAGATAAAAATGATCACATGAACAAAATGCCTATTAAACATTCCATAATTTAAAACATTGGAACTTATTTTTCGATTATTAAATTTTCTATGACGATGTACGACTAGTTTATGTTCACTACTAATTATACAGATTTTTTTATGCTTATATGGACTGCATTTTATATGTTAGTTAATAGTGCTCCAAGTTTTTGCAACTACTTTAAAAACTTCTTAAGGTTAGGAGTGATAAATAATTAGGTTTTATGGGTGAATTTTAAAATGTTTTAGATAACCCATTTGGAATTATAACAAACAGAAAATTTGATTTAACATTTTGAGTGGAGAATCAAATTGTCACTTCATTTCACTTACACTGAAATTGTTTAATGTAGTAACATCTTGCTTAAAAGCTCATCCACACCAGATGCGAGAGAATAATTTAGAAGTACTGCAGCTAAATGGGAGTATCACACCAGCAACGAATGATGTTAGCCAAATGGGAGTATCACACCAGCAATGAATGATGTTGCTTTGCTAAAATAGAATCTGTAATTTTTTATTGTGTGATTCAAAGGAAATTGACCTGTCAAAATAACCTGAACTATAGCAAAGATGGTGATTATGTAGTGCTTAACAAGGATATAACGTTATACTTTAGAAAATTAATGAAAAGTAAGTTGGACAGAAACACAACTAAGATTGCAGTAAGTTGTCTGCCTGTCTATATATATAAGAAAATTATTTTAATTTATTAAAAATATTAGTTCATATATAGGCTACTACTATCGCAGACATAAGAGCTCTTGTTGTCAAAACATGTTTTGTAGGACAGACCATCCCTACTATGTCCAGTAAGAATGCATGAGCAGGTCATGTATTTATTTCCAGTTTTTTGGTGTATTTCCACTACACATGTGGTGTGGATTGACATTCACAGACGTTGCTTATGTCTAGTGAGGATAAATCTTGAGAATTTGTCAGATTTCTAAAAATCTTGTTCTTGGAAATTCCTGAAAAAGTTAAATACTGCATAATTGGGAAAGAACACTGTGCTATTAGTATTTAAAGAAATATATTCTAGCACATTGTTTTAGAACTTTTATTCAGTGTGTGTGGGTGTTTCTTTACAAATTATCTGGTTATAAGTATGATTTTTAATCTGTAATACAGATAAGTAGTTTTATCTGTGTATGTATTAACTTACAATTGATTGGAAACCTGATAGTGAGACACTTGAATTGTAAACACAATATTTATAGTTTAATAAATTCTTGCTCCGTGTTAAAAAATGTGTGATTTTCACTGAACATAAAATCCTATGTTAACATAAGACCTTTTGCAACTCTTGTGATAATAAAAATTATTGACTATGGATGCAAGTGTGTTTTATACGACTTAAATTTTGAAAATTTTTTGGTCTATTTAATGATACATTCATCACTAAAACTTTTCACTCGTAATACAATGTCCAGGCTCAAATGTAAATGTTAATAAAAGTGAAATAGAATTTACAATTATGATAGGACAAAGGAATAGAACTTGTTGAATTTGCCATGTCAAACACCTTTTTAAGTCTTTCTTTCATGTAATCTATTAAACTTAAGTTTTTCCAAGATCTAGTTAAGGTTTACATTTCATACACAACTTAAGCAGTCTTTTTATACCTCTTATGTATCACTGTTAAACAACAACAAAAAAACATGTAATGAACAAATAAATAAATGGGCACAAAGCTCTCACTTCAACACTGGTATAGTTACAAAATTACAATTTGAAGTAAAAGGCCTGAAAAGTAAAATTCAAAATCAATAGATTAAACTTTTCACTATAATGAACATATAAAAAAAAAAAACATTATCGTGACTATGCATGTAGTCTGGGTTAAAGTAAGTGGAAATATTTTTAATGCATAACATATTCATTGTTTGTTTTAGGGTTTTAACAAGTACATACTGCAAATGCATGGGTAACCAAGTGTTTTTCAGATGGCATTTTCAATGTTCTTGCTAGCCTATGGCTGGTTTTGCCAATACTCTGCACTGTATAGACTGTTATCAGATACATTAGAAAAATGAACAGGGGTAGCAAAGAACTTCCATTGATGGTGACTGTATCATATGAAGAGTAAGAACTCGTGCTGTTATATCAAGCTGAGACATGGAGGGGGTGGAGGAGTTACACAGAGTTTTGCATACAGGTGAATTTGTGTTTTAACATATTTTTGCATCAAAGCAATCTCACAGTATATGTTAAAGTTGTTGCTTAAAGTCATTCCAGGAAAAAAAAAATGCTAAAATTATAGAAAACCTGGTCACTAGATCATAGGGAAAAATAAAGCAAGCTTTCAAGATAATTTACTTGTAAGTTCCGTTTATTCTAATCTAACTTGATTAAAGTTCGTAGGTCAGCTAAAATTTGTCTGATTGAACTTATTTTATTATTAGTTGTGAAAGGAATAAATAGCTTAAACAAAAAAAGATGATTATTTGTGGAATATATTTAAATACACCATTTGAGTAATACATTTTAATATACATCTTTATGCAATTAACAAAAGTAATTATACAGCCCCACTAATCATCTTATTATGAAATAAGCATAGAAAAGTAGCACTTTTATACCTTATTTTTTCCTTCAGCACATTAAATAAACAATGTAAAATCAATCTTGATGTAACAAGATAACAATGTCATCATACTGTCTTTGTTTTTCCCTCTCCTGTTCTTTCAAGTTATCTATAATACTTTGAAACCTTTGCTTCAGAGCTAGATTCTCAATGTTTGAGATTTCAAGTTCTTGTGCCTGCCTTCTTGCCTGAATATTTAAGATTTCTTTTTCCAGTAAATCCAACTTTGTCAGTAACGCATCTCTTCCTTGTTCACTAGATTCTTTAATATCCTCCTTTTTAACAACAAACTGATTCCCATTTGACCTTGCTGAACTAGTTTGTTTTTGTGGTCTGTTTTTCTCACTAGCAAGTGGAGAAATAGATTTTTTATTATCTTCATATTCTCGATCTTGTGATGTGTCAGATGCTCCTAAACCTGCTGGACTTCGTAACATACCTCGAGAGAATTCAGTAACAAGTTTTTCTGATTTATTAGGTGTAGTTTCATTTATATTAGATGTTGCTACTGATGCACGACTGACCTCATCATCTTCCAAATCCATAATATTAACATCATCCTCTTCAGAGCTGCTAAGAACTTCACCAAACAAGTCATGTTCTGCAACATCCATACTCTGAGAATTGCTGTTAATAAAGCCACCAGCTGACAAAATATTACCAACAGTACCTTCTGTTGGTCCATTTTTATTTTCTCCTTTGTCTTCATCAGCATTCACTACTTCATACCTGACACTTATTGCTTCATTATCCATGCGAAACAGTCTTTTTACTTCCTTTTCAATCTCGGGGAAATCAACATATTTCTTTTTTAACGTCTTTCGAAATCTTCTTTTACGGACGTTTTTAAGAGATGGAGTGATACCATGAGGCCACATGAATTTTTTATCCTTATCCTTTTTCTTTTTGGTTGAGTCTTCTTCTTCAGATTTTTGAGGATCATCCTCTTCTTTGCACACCATCATTTGACAGATGTCAGCTGTTTTATAAAAATTTTTTCTGTCTAAAGTTTTTTGGGATTCCAGAATACATGGTAAATCAACTATCTTTGATGACATAGACCATTTGTCAAAACGTACAGTTCCATGTCTCATATCTGGTTCTACCTGTATAGTCAGCCTATCCTTAAGGCTCATTACCCCTGATCTGACTGCTGCACGAAGTGATGCTGCTGGAGTTGGTGGCATTCTCAGAATAAACTGATTTTCTAGCTCTACAGGAGGCTCAGTAGGTTTCTGTGTAGTTCCATCCTTTTCTTCTGGTGGAGGCATGGTGAATCTTAAATCAACAGTAGTAAAAACAAGGATGAGCAAGTGAACAAGCATAATTCCTTACAAAATTTATTACCTACTAGAATAACATATATATTACTAGATAGGAGAGTAAGTCTATCTGTTTGTATGTTTTGGTTTATTTTTGAATTTTGTGCAAAGCTTCTAAGAGCTACCCACACCAACTGACCCTAATTTAGCAGTGATACACTAGAGAGAAGGCAACTAGTCAACACTATCCACTGCCAACTCTTGGGCTACATTTTACCAATAAATATTGGAATTGACCACAAAGTTATAACACCTCCACAGCTGATAGAGGTGAGCATGTTCTGTGATGAATATTTGAACCCACAATCCTCAGATTGTGAGTTAAGCTCCCTAACCACTAAGCCATGCCAGGCTAAGTAATTCTGATTTGAAACTATTTCTTGTTTTATATATTTGTCTAATGTATAATTATTAGAATATTGATAATTCATAATAAGCTGGAAACATTATCTACATATAGTATGATTGCCAGTGACTTTTGAAAAGTACAATACAATAGTCATTGTGACTGCTTCTGGAAGACTTAAACCAAAGTAGAACAAGCATAATTCCTCACAAAATAAATTGTCTCTTGATACAATGTTAACATATACACTACTAGATTATACTTGTGTATTAACAGATTAGTTGATTTACTGAAATCAAAAGAATATAATACTTTCGTACAAGGAACAAAATATGGATAGTACTTTCTTCATATTATAGATCACTTGTGTTTTGCTGCCTTTTTGGCAAAATAAATTCAGCATTTTTTCTAACACAGATTTAATAAACAAAATTACAAGTTTAATCTCTTGAATAAAGTTTGAAATTTCAATATGTGGCTTCCCCATGTTTAATAAATACTTCGTACATGTGATACTAGTTACCTTTTTAAATATCTATATTTATAGTCCTAAATTACACTCACTGTACAGACACTGGATGAGAAGGCATATTTTCAAAAAACGTTCCAGAACTTCCAGGTTTTCTTACCTAATAGAAAAAAATATAAAACAACACAAAACATTTATTTGAAATTATAATTTGTGAGAAACTTAATTACCAAAATTATCTGATATGTATTTTCACATCATCAGTTTCCAAGTGGATACTCAAACTTCACTTGGTTTAACTATTATTTCTAATCCTATGCAATAAATTCAGTACTCTTGTGGAGAAGCTTATTAACATGTAGTAATCTAGTATTATGCTTTAATATAAGTTGATAAGTAAATTACCGTGATTATCAGGGTAGCATTGGCACTTAAGATTAAGTTAAACTTAAAGTTAATCTAACACTAGTAACATAAATTAGTGTTAGATTTAGAGATAGAAGTTATATTCAGGTAGGTAAAAGTCAAATTGTTAATTTAAGACTTCAAAGTCTATATATCATATGATGTTAATTTATTTCGTGTTTGTATTTCACCCACCATCTGCATTGGCCTCAACTCGAGCCTTATAACTTATATATACAAATTAAATAAATTTGTGTGCTTTAGAAGGGTAGTGAATTTATTAGAATACCAAATTGACGAACAATGATGTATAACTTAAAAGCACAATGAAACATATATTATGACCACAATATAAAATTTTCATTATGCTTTTAATATAAATCATTCTTAGTCAATTTATTCATTGTTCTATTCAGTATTAAGTATTAGTTACTGTACAATTGTTCACTATCTTTTCTCAGCCTAAAGAAGGCGGTATAAATTACTAAATAAAATAAATTGACAGTGAGACCATGTTAAATTTGTAACATATTAACGTTATTACTTAAAATTTACCGTTAAATTGTTTGGCAACTCGCGAAGAACTATCAGTATTACACTCTTCCTCAGGTAACCGTCAGGGGGAGCAATCCTTCTATTTCATTACGTAACATAACGCAGGAACAACAAGGAACCATTTAGATCTTAAATTAAATGTTCTGTTTGCATACCCAACAGGATGAACGTAGGATTTAAAAACTACTTTTATTTTTCAGAATATTACCGATTAACCACATGAACTCCTGTAAAATGCAGACCACAACTAATTCCGACGAAAAATCATTCTATAAAATATTGTGGACAATTTACAAAATAACTTAATCTGTTAGCGCCCCTTTTCCTTAAAAAAATATAATTTAAACTGTTCTAGGTACCTTCTAAAAAAGTCGCAATCTGTTTTAAACACAAGAGACGTTAAGTCTATTTCGAGTTATGTACAAAATTTAAAACAAGCATCTAAATATTACTCAATGTGATGCCACCATGACTTTTTTTATAAAATTTTATTAATCTACTAATTCCCCCGGTGGGACAGCGGAAAGTCTATGAAATTACAATACTAAAATTAGGGGCTTGATTCCATTTGGTGGACAGAATAGATAGCTCGATGTTGCTTTGCTATATAAAACAATACACACAATTTTTGTAAAAAGGTTGGTAAACATTTATAATTAGGCAGGACTATAGGAGCCATGATCTCTATACAATCACAAATGGTGCCAGAAAGACCAATATATTTTAATTTTATGATCTGAGCCAGCGTTTCCCAAACTAGGGTCCGCGAATAGTCTAAAACCTAAATACAAATATTACAGTATTACAAAAGATCAATCACAATTATACGTTGTCACAGTTAATTTGCTCAAGCTTTACAGTATGTTGATTCCTTCTAGGGTAGCAATGCCCTGAGTTTGCTGGATCTGGCTCCTGAGTGGTTTCAACGGATCAGTTGCAGGCCTGGCTCAAGAGTGGTTTCAGTGGATCAGCTGCAGGTTGGCTCCAGAACTGATAAAGACACATTACTCCAGTTCAATGCTGACTCCAGCAGCCTCTGTTGCAAATTCAAAACTATTCCATATTAGTGATCCGGCTGCCTTTACATGGCTCAGGTTTCGGAAAAACAGAACTCTATGGCTATGTAGGATAGTACTATTTATGGTGTTATTTAAAAAGTCCGTACAGTTAAATTGGTTTTCAGTTAAAGCAATGGGGAACGTGAATCCTGCTTTTAAAGTTTTATATACTGTACTGTATTTATTTTTACAAACTTTTTAGCTACCTCTTCAACAAAATCAATGTTAACATGAATATATTAATAGCTTTTTATTAATAAATAATCCAAACAGGAAACAGAGGGAACATAAAATAAAACAGTGTAAAACTAAAGGGGCACTAAGTAGAGTGCATACCTCCGCCACGCATCGTTAATTATATTCGGCTCTCAAAAATACGAAAATGTATCCGTCGTTATTAACGGACACGGACCAGTTTTGGCAGGACAATGAGGAACCATATTGTTACGTCTCCGTTTGTTAATTGATTTTTCCGTAACTTCGTTCCGACGAAACTTTAACGACACAAATCTTTACTTAATAAAACTGGTTTATTCTTTCCGAATATAACTCTGCGATACACTTAATCTCAATATTCGCGCTAAAACAAACAGTATCACGAACGAACGTTAACTTCAACAATACCCTGTGACTGCAGTTCAATTACTCATTGTCTACACACACATTACGTTATCGCGTCACGTTGTCCCCCTCTTATATATACCAGACTACCCTATCTAGTAAATACTAGAGCATTCATGAAGGAACAAGATAGTTCTAGAAACTAGAGGGCGTGACCAGTCACGTGACCTCGATGACGCAACACTGCCCCCTCCTTAATATTGTTCGTCCCGAACAATAACCACATACAATAAACCAATAACAATTAACAATAACTTAATTAACTGTACAGAATTACAAAGACAAAATTACAATTCAACAAAGTCTCTTAATTTTACGGGACGTATTTTCTTCCGTACTGGTCTTCGTCTCGTTGGCTTCTGCTTCATGTGGGATTCATCTGCTTCATCAGTAAATGTCCTATCATTGGTAACAGTCACATCAGTGGTAGTAACTTCACCAAGAGCTTCACCGTTTCCCTTCACCAAACTGAGTA